AACCACGTCAGAACACCTACCAACCACTCACTCCCTCTGGTTTGATTGGTGTTGACGGAGACGTAACACTTTTGCAGTTGATGCTAGGGTTGCCAAAGGCAGTCGGGCTTCTTCGTTGTAAAAAAACAAAACCTCTAGCCTCTCATGTTGGAGCTGATTAAAAATTTTATTGCGGAAATTCTGCGCCCGCATTGATACTTTAATTTAGTCGTTGATAATATGTGCTGCGTCGACCATGCCCACCAGGGCCAGTCCGGGCTGAGAGGGATGATTTAACGTCCCAGCCGGAAAAACGGAGATACGCGATAGACAGTCTGTCTCCCCACATGGGAATCGAACTCTGTTTGCGACAGCGAACTCTGCTTGCGACAGTGAAGTGCATAACCATTGCATGACAGACGCTGGTGTGTTTGCGCTGAGTTGTGCACCAAATATTTACGCACCAGTATCAATGGCCCTATTTTGTTGAGGCTAAAGGACGGTGCTGGAAGGCCTTGCTTCTTTATTATTTCTCTTTTTATTGTGCCTGTCTTGTTTACAGTGCGCCGCTTGTAGGTCCTACTTTTCTTTCACTCTGTTGTTTCTGTCTATCCGTCTTGCTTCTTGCTTCTTCCCTACATCATGTGACTGTTATTGTATTGATGGGCTTCTCTTTACTCAAACTCAGACTTGTTTGCAGTGATCATTGTTGCGTGGATGTGCTTCTCTCGCACTTCACAAATTCCATGCCGAGCAGCTCCACACTTCTAATTATGCCCCGTCATAGAGACGCACTGCAGGCGAATTTGTTAAACTATTTTTGGATTAGTGTTTTACGCGCTGGTAACTGCATAGGGCCACATGAGTGCACGGGACACATTAAATGTTTTAAATTTGGTAGAAATTAATTTTGAATTTTTCCCGGGTTGCGGCTGGAGCCATCTCTTATTTATCGATTTTAGGACCACCAAGGGATCTCAGAAAGTGAAGACGAAAACAGACGACAGAATACATGATTATAGAGTAGGAAATGAGGGGAAAGGAGAAGTATTATTTTCTGTCGCTGTCAGGATCCGAACTAGGGACCTATTGAATGAGAGGCGAACACCATGACCCCCAGATCACCAGAGCCCCCGGCGAAAGTTTGATATTTGAAAGATCGTTTTATTAATAATAAAGCATGGTTTTTTACCTTAGGGCCTCACTCAGTCCACGTTGCAATCTGTTTATGTTTCCGCCAACACAGACAGATAGTAAAAGACTAATAAACAAAGAAGTAGCCAGCCAAACGGGCTTCCGGACAGACTGAAAGACTAACCAACAGACAAATAGGCAGACAGATCATCAAGAATGCAGACAGGCAAACGACCCGACAGACAGACTGACAGACAGACAGATAAACAGACTGACAGACTAGGAAATGGACGACCGAGAAAACTGCCAGCAGAATAAGCAAACAAACAGAAGGACGGACAGGCAAACAGACTGCCGGACAAGTTCGTAACCTACTCTCCCCCCCCCCTCTCTCTCCCTCTCTCTATCTATCTCTCTTGTCTCCCGTCTCCTACTGACCGAGATAGTGAGCTGCCTGTACGTTGTTACTTTGACTCGGAGCGTCTACAGGGAGCTGCCAGTGAGCTTGAATGCTTGAGCTTGGTCTTAGAGACGAACGAGGAATTGCGGGGGTGGGGAGAGGGGAGGGGTTACGAAGAATATAAGAGGTGATTTTGGTTAATTGACAACACGCTTTGGGATAGTTGTGTTTGTATCTGTTTTGGAGGATGTATCTCTCTGTGTGTGTGTGTGTGTGTGTGTGTGTGTGTGTGTGTGTGTGTGTGTGTGTGTGTGTGTGTGTGTGTGTGTATCATATTGTTTTGTGTGTGTGTGTGTGTGTGTGTGTGTGTGTGTGTGTGCGTGTGTGTGTATGTATGTTGTTGTTGTTTCGGTTGTGTTTTTATTGTTTTGTTTTGGGTTTTTGTTTTCTTTTTGATAAGGGTTGTCGCGTTTTGCCCAAGGACACATTCCCGTGGTCACCTACCTTAACATCGTATCTTTAACTTTGCTCGACATTTAGCAACTTTAGAATTACAACCTTTTATCTGCTCAGTACCTAGTTTTGAGAAATTTATGCGTAAAAAAAATTGAGCTTCACAATACAAGCTTTTTCGAATGCAGTTCTTAGAATATCTTGATAACGACCCGAATAATCTCACAATTTTGATAGAGCAAGCAGACAGAGCTTTTGATTTCTGATCTCATGGTCTTTGTAACTCAAAAACGGCCAAAATGTGAGATAAAACTTTGTAATTCTCAAGTGGCAATTTGTGAGCCAGAGCTCACTAAGCTCTACGTCACTAGCAATAGCATTCCAATTGGCTACATACAACTTAGAATGTCCGGTGCACTTTAATTTAAAAAGATAATTTTTGATAGATAGTTCTTTATGAACTGTCTCATTGACATTAGTTGCTTATGTTCTGCTTTAAAACGTAAGAATAAATTATCTGTTATAATAAAATCGGCATCTCCGAAACTGTCTGAAATCTTTGAGTCTTAGTGATGAGCCCTTTGCGTTTCCCTGTTGCAGTTAAATATTATGATACTGGCAATGTGGGTTTGAGTCCCTACTGGAATGGGTTTTTTATTATATAATTAGGTTTGTTATTGAATTTTAAAGGCTCTTTAAAGTGGCTGAGATGGATTTGATTGACTGGGATGGCATTTGCCGAGACTGTATTTTGTTCCTCACTGTACCCAAG